CCAAATGATTGGGAAATCTTTGTTCCTGCAGTCCGCAGTGCTCCCGATGATGAACGAGGCCAAGAAAGATGCCTTCGGGAGTGTCAACAGAAAAGCCGGCCTGCAGATATGGACCATTAACGTGAGTCATGCAATAAAGCAAACGACAGCCTTTTGTGTGGGGGAGTGGGGGGGGGGCGGATTTGCGCACGTGCGTGTGCGGTCTTGATTTGATGTGGACTTTCCGTCCTTGGACTTGTTCTTGTCAATGTCCAACAGAAGCTGCAGATGGTGCCCGTGCCGGCCCAAAGCTTCGGCAACTTTTATGAGGGCGATTGTTACATCGTGCTGCATGTGAGTAGACGTTGCAATCCCAGACAGTTGGCGCACCCCCACGAGGAAACAAATCCCCGACAACATCGCTCGCGGGGGGGACGGAACTATTCCGTTTTGGTGACCTTTGAATGTCTGCAACCCAACATCACACCTGGGGACAAAAACCATGCACCGCACGGGGGTGGGTGGGGGTTGACCCCCTCTTGTACGCGTGCCAAACGTGTCGCATCCCTCTCGCAGACGAGTGACAACTTGGGCGCGGTGGACATTCACTACTGGATCGGGAAGGCCTCGTCGCAGGACGAGCAGGGGGCGGCGGCCGTCTACGTCACGCAGCTGGACGAGCACCTGGGCGGCGCGCCGGTGCAGCGCAGGGAGGTGCAGGGCCACGAGTCGCCGCGCTTCCGCGGCTACTTCAAAAACGGCCTCGTGTGAGTACTGCGCCGCGAGCGACGAGGGAAAGCGGGAGGCGGGTGCGCTCTCCGAGTCACCGCTTTTGCAAGTGCAACTCTTTGCTCGAGTCGCGGAGCGAATATGAGCCGACGGGAACCCGCCGCCGGCTCGCCCTCGGGGCCTCGTCCGTTTGAAAAGCCGCCCGTCCGCACTTGAGCAAATGACAAGTGCGTTCTCCCGGCATCGTTGCGCGGAAGGGGCAAGGTGACTTTGGACCCGGGGCGTCACTGTTTGCGCTCGTCGCCCGCAGCGCCTTGTTTTACGGCCCTTGGACTTTGCTCGGCGTTCTGGTTCTCTCTTCCTCTGCAGCTACAAAAAGGGGGGCGCGGCCTCCGGCTTTAACCACGTGGACACCAACGCCTACGTCGTCCTGCGCCTGCTGCACGTCAAAGGGCGCAAGCACGTCACGGCCACGGAGGTGCGGGGGCGACGAAAGCGACCGGGACTCTTCCTTGGGGCCCTTTTTCTTTCTTCAGCCTGAGCATTTTCTCCAAATGTGGCGGCTGCGCGCAGGTGGAGGCGTCGTGGAGCAGCTTCAACACCGGCGACTGCTTTCTACTGGACGCGGGCCACCTCATCGTGCAGTGGAATGGCGACAAGAGCAACAGGAGAGAGAAGCTCAAGGTGCCCACCTTCCTGCAATTTAATTTTTTTTTTTTTTTTTACAGGGGGTCCCAAAATGAACCTTTCTTGTTGACGTTTTGGGAATGTCTATTCGTGTTGTTTTTTATTGGAGGGGGTGGGGGGG